ACCAGCTTTCATCAGTCTATATTGAAAATTTTCGCCATATACATGTTGTAAAAAAAGAATTATCTTTAAATAAATAACTGTTTTTAATGTATATGGCGTGTGGAATTATGAGTATTAGTTTTTAAAAAACTTGTCTTTAAAGTTTAATCAGCAATTAATAATAATACAACGGTAATAATACCACAATCCACTGGAACTCGTATTTGCCACTCTAATCTTCTGTCTGTTTCGGAATATCCTCTGTAACAAATAGGTAACAATACACATTTCGGTATCGTGTGTAACGTGTATTATTGTCAAAAGGTGTACCGTGTAAATGTAAAAGTGAAGGTTCTTCCTTTAACTTCGATGAAATGATGCAAGAAAAACTTACTTTATTATATATATGTTTACTTAATCAAAATTTGAATAATGATTTCTCATTAAAAACTACTTATTGATTCACAGATAGTCGTATTACACGGAATTTTTATTGTGTTTTCAAATTCAGGCATCCTACATATATTTGTTTTAACATGTTATCGAAATTTCTTTGTAAAGTGCTATTACTTTATAAGTGTTTTTGAAAATATTATGACATTTATAAGCAAACAAAAAATTCAAGCTGATGGAAGTACATGGAATTTTTACGAAAAAATATTATATGTATGGTTTTGCTAACATACAGGTGGTGGCGAAGCTCCAAGAAACCTTTCAGGACGTCTAGTAGCAGCCACTTGGTGGCTGTTCGGGTTTATTATCATCGCCTCCTACACCGCTAATCTAGCTGCGTTTCTGACTGTGTCCAGATTAGACTCCCCCATAACCTCTCTCGACGATTTAGCAAATCAATATAAAATAAAATACGCGCCGCAAAAAGGAAGCTCTTCTCAGACGTATTTTGAACGAATGGCGTACATTGAGGAACGATTTTATGAGTAAGTTGTATGCTAGCTTAGTTAAAACCTTGCTTTTCACGTATCTTTTCACTGATAGCTGTATGTTAGCTTAGATAAAACCCGTTTTCTCACGTATCTTTTCACTGATAGTTGTATATTAGTTTAGTTAAAACCTTGCTTATCACGTATCCTTTCACTGACAGCTGTATATTAGTTTACTTAAAACTCGTTTTCTCACGTATCTTTTCACTGATAGTTGTATGCTAGCTTAGTTAAAACTAGGGTTGCACGTTTAGTAAAATTTGGCTGAATACCGGGTCCGGGTCACTAAGCTTTGGCCGGGGCCGGGTGTCAACCGGTACCCAGTTCTCCCCTTGCACCACCCCCCAAAAAAAAACAACAACAGCAAACAAACATACACAAAAATTGAAACAAAAACAGCTAGTTGTAGGTTAGCTTAGTTAAAACATTGCTTCTCACGTATCCTTTCATTGATAGCTGTATGTTAATCTAGTTAAAACCCTTCTTCTCATGTATCCTTTCATTGATAGCTGTATGTTAATCTAGTTAAAACCCTTCTTCTCAAGTATCTTTTCATTGATAGCTGTATGTTAATCTAGTTAAAACCCTTCTTCTCAAGTATCTTTTCATTGATAGGTGTATGTTAATTTAGTTAAAACCATTCTTCCCATGTATCTTTTCATTTATATTTTTTATCACTGTGTTTTTTTTTGTTCAAGTTACGCCTCTGTTTACTATTGTTTGGTATTACAGCTTCTGCTACATCTTGTAGCACGAAACATATTTCAGAGACGTCAATATTTCTCTCTCCTTTACAATATGTACTATTTAAGAAAGTGTTTAATGTTTGATTGTTGTTTTGGAAACAGCCTAGTCCCTTGAAGTAAATAACAATTGCTCAAAAACAAATATTACATTTAAAGAGGTAACTTAAAAACTAAATAGTTTAAATTAACAGCCATATTCCGTAATGAAACTTCAAAGATAATAAAGTATTAGAACATTTAATATGTTCTAATAGCTAACAACAGTTAATATGTGCTGTATAGCAGCCAGCTGAGTCCTTTATGGATTTTATTTATAACATTTGAAATACGAAAGTAAATTGGCTTTTAACTGATTTTTATTTACAATCACAATATGTTTAAGGTATTAAAACAGCCTGGAGTTTTCATTGGTTATATTTTCTTATCACCACATATTTAACGAATTAAAGCTAACTGTCAAACTGAACCCTTAAGTAATTTTGTTTTCTTGCAAACATAACTTTAAAACATTAAAGCAGCCTTAATCTTTAACTAGTTTTACGTTCTTTTTGTCAGATGTTTACAGCATTAAAGCAGCCTTAACCTTTACCTGATTATACTTTCTTCTCACCATATGTTTAAAGCATTAAAACAACCTTAACCCTTACCTCATTATACTTTCTTCTCACCATGTGTTTAAAGGGTTAAAGCAGCCTTAACCTTTACCTGATTATACTTTCTTTTCACCATATATTTAAAGCATTAAAACAACCTTAACCCTTACTTGATTATACTTTCTTCTCACCATATGTTTAAAGCAGCCTTAACCCTTACCTCATTATACTTTCTTCTCGCCATATGTTTAAAATGTCAAAGCAGTGTTAAACCTTACCTGATTATACTTTCTTCTCACTATATGTTTAAATGTTTAAAGCATTATTAACCCTTACCTGATTATACTTTCTTCTGTGCGTTTCCTTGCTTTAAATGCTGGACAATTTATTTTATTGGCACTTAGTTGTTATTCTTTCAGACTGACTGAACTTGTGGTTATTCAGAGAGTTCAGTAATGTTAGACTTGCCCAAAGCGACTAGTGCTAACACTTGCTGACCACCCCCATTTCAACTTAAACATATACACTGAGTGGTCACAAGTAAATAGACATCTAATTTTTCGCCATTTAACTGACTTATGTTAACTAATTTGTGTTCACAGAGCACTATACAAATGAAAATGGTCCGCACACTAATTATCTTGTGCTACAACATGCCTAAAACTCAAGGTTCTCTCGAATTGTCAGATTCGAGATAGTTGGTCAAGCAGATGGTGGAATAAGTCAGCGACAAATTTCGCAGAATTTGGGAATACCGCTTTCGACAGTCAACAGAATCATCGTGCAGTTCAGGAAACACGGCAAGGAAACAACTGAGCAGCGTCCGGGTCGTCCTGGTCCATCGGAGAGGACAAAAAGGGCTGTAAAGAGGAACATCGAAATGGATCCCAGATTAACGACTGCAGAAGTGGCCAAAGCTGGT